GCAGGGATGAAGACAGGAAGGCCAGAGGGCAACTGGACTTTCAGCTAGCAAGGGATGTGAAGGGTAACAAGAAGGGTTTCAATAAGTACATCAGAAGTAAGAGGAAGATCATGGAAAGTGAGGGTCCCCTACTTAATGGGGGAGGCATCCTAGTGACAGAGGATGCAGAAAAGGCTGAAGTACTCAGTGCCTTTTTTATCTTGGTCTTCACAACCAAGATCAGCTCCCAGACTACTATACCAGGCAGCACAGTTTGGGGAGGAGGTGAGCAGCCCTCAGTGGTGAAAGAACAGGTTAGGGACTATTTAGAAAAGCTGGAGATATGCAAGTCCATGAGGCCAGATGGGATGCACGCAAGGGTACTGAGGGAGTTGGCTGATGTGACTGCAGAACCACTGGCCATCAACTCTGAAAACTCACAGTGATCGGGAGATGTCCCAGATGATTGGAAAAGGGCTAACATACTGCTCATTTTAAGAAAGGAAAAAAAGTAGTATCCAGGGAACTACAGACTAGTCAGCCTCACCTTAGTCCCTGGAAAAATCATGGAGCAGATCCTCAAGGAATCCATTTCTAAGCACTTGGAGGAAAGGAAGGTGATTAGGAACAGACAGCATGGATTTACCAGGGACAAGTCATGCCTGACCAATGTGATTGCCTTCTATGATGAGCGGATTGGCTCTGGATGTGGGGAGATCTGTGCATGTGGTATACCTTGATTTTAGCAAGGCTTTTGATATGGTCTCCCACAACATCCTCGCAGGCAAGCTAAGGAAGTATGGGCTGGATGAATGGAGTATAAGGTAGATAGAAAACTGGCTGGAGCATCAGGCTCAGATGTCAACGGCAGCCAGTATCAAATGGAGTGCCTCAGGGGTTGGTCCTGGGGCTGGTTTTGTTCAATGTCTTCATCAACAACTTGGAACGAGGCACAGAGTGCACCCTTAGCAAGTCTGCAGATGACACCAAGCTGGAACGTGTAATAGATATGCAGAAGGGTAGGGCTAGGATTCAGAGTGACCTAGACAAATTGGATGATTATTCCCCTTTATTCAGCAGTAGTGAAGCTACATCTGGAGTAGTGTGTTCAGTTTTGGGCCTCCCACTACAGAAAGGATGTGGACAAATTGGAGAGAGTCCAGAGGAGGGCAATGAAAATAGTGTGGGGGCTCAGGCACGTGATTTATGAGAAGAGGCTGAGGGAGCTGAGCTTATTTAGTTTGGAGAGGAGAAGACTGAGAAGGGATTCAATAGCAGCCTTCAGTTACCTGAAGGTGGGTTCAAAACAGGATGGAGCTAGACTGTTTTTAGTGGTGTTAGAACAAGGAACAATGGTCTCAAGTTGCAGCAAGGCAAGTTTAGGTTAAATATTAGGAAGAATTTTCTCACTAAGAGGGTAGTGAAGCACTGGAACAGGTTACCCAGAAAGGTTGTGGACTCTCCATCCTTGAAGGTTTTTAAGACCCAGCTAGACAAAACCTTGACTGGGATGATCTAGTTGGGGATGATCCTGCTTTGAGCACGGGGTTGGACTAGATGATTTCCTGAGGTTTCTTCCAACCCTATTTTTCTATGGTTCTATCATTCTTCATAAAAAATAATATTGTATTTACTTGAACAGAGGATGAGGTTTTTTTCCCTGACCACCCTGAGCAAAAAAAAGTCATCTTACATTTGCATACAAGGAAACCTCATTAAATACACAGTCTATCATTAAACTGCTGCCAAAAGTAGCAAGCGGTCAGCAATGGGAACCAACTATGAAGTTGATTAATCAGTTCCAAATTCTATTGGCCAAGCAGAATTCAGTTGCTCACGACCATGTGGTGCTATCACTGGCAAGTATTCTCCCTCCCAGATTCTTCAGCCTAGGGCTTTAGATACTCCCAAATCCATGGCATGAATCCATGCAAGCCCCAAGCCTAGAGGTCTTGGAGTTCAGATGCCCCTGAGCCTTGCTTGCTCTCAGCCACAGGAACAAGCTAGACAGAAATCTGCTATCTACATAAAATGGGCATGTAGCTGAAATCCTCCCATCGGGAGGCTCTAGTACACTTTGTCCACAGTGCATCAGACAGGTCTCCACCCTTTACTATACAATGCCATTCAAGGTGATCTTGGCCCTGGGAACAGAGCAGCACAGTCTGGAAAATGTATTACCCTCAAGATGCAGAGAAGCCAAAAACCCAAGATGATGATGGGAACCTACCGTAAGAATAGGTTAATGTAGCCCATCTGAATAAGGCACATGGTAGGACCCATTGTGTTCAGTCCTCCTCAGTGCTAACTCTTTTCAAGGTTATGGTGAGTCACTACATTAAATACGTTTGTACATTCTCTTCATTCCCATACCTGAGCTTTCGTTCCCATTTCCAATTATTCCTGTTTCTTCACAAGCCATAAATATCTAGCAAACATTAACAAATGAGGCCCTAAACAGTTCACACAGAATTCCTCTGTCTCCCCCTGTTTGCCTGTTGCATCTGATTAGTGTGGCCCCATCCTCCATGAGATGGAGCCAGACCAAATTGCCCTGCATGTCATCTGCACATAGTTTTGGAGGATCCCAGAACTTGTGACAATAATGCTCGGTTCCAGTCATGAGTGATGGGACTAATTAGCACATGGAGCTGCGCGGTCATCATCGCTTGAAATGCTGTTGACTCTGCTGGGGCCTAGCCCAATGAACTTTCAGCTAATATAACGGCTTTAAAATGCAAGTCCTCTTGGGGGCTAAGATCAAATGTAGTCACAGCACTGGTCTGGTACCCAAGCCCAAATGGATTTAAGTGGCATTGTATAGTGGAGGGCAAACCTCTGTCCAAATGCACTGCAGACAGGACACCCTATGAGAGTCTTGTAATTAGCTTCCCACTGCCCAGCTTCCAGTGGGAGGATCTTGGCTACATGCCTACTTCATGGACTACTCCTTAGCTTGCTCCTGTGGCCTTTGGATGAGAGCAAACAAGACTTGGGGGCATCTGAATCCCAAGCCTCTGGGCTTGGGCCTGCATGGATAGATTCGGAAGTATTTGTCCATGCTTGCCAATGGATTTGGAAGTATCTGAAGCCCCAGGCTGAAAAGTTTCAGGTGGAAGATACTTGCCAGTTGCAGCACCACATATTGTGTTTGAATGACAGAGTTTTGCTCAGTCAAAAGGATTTGGAACTGATCTGGTTAATATGACCTGGAACACAAAAAATTCCCCCCCTCAAATCTAAGTAGGTACAAAAGTGCTGTTTAAAAGCATGTTTATGGAATGCTTGTTACAACTTGCAGCCATTTAAAAAAAGGTAAAATGCATCAATTCTGGATGAACTTTATTTCAGGGTCAGTGTTCTCAAATTTGCTTTTCACTTCCATGTGTTCATGAAGAGCAGGGTCTGACAGTAAGGGACTACAGGGGAGGAAGTTGGTGGGGAAAGAGGGCAAAGGGACCATTTGACCCCCCAGATTTATTTTACTTGCTGTAGCACTGGGTGGAGGAGAAATTCAAGGCAAACCTCAAATAATTAGATTTCATACCCGGAAAATTACAACAAATTATAATGTATTAATTATTCAGGGATTTCTTATATTCAGAGTTGTCTTATATTCAAGTAACTTTGGTAAAATTAAAAACCAATGAAGTATAAATACTGTCATAAGCTTGGAAACATTAAAAATTGTCCTGAGGCCCAGCAAGGAAGGAGTGGCACTGAAAATCAACAGTGCAATACCTATTAACCTTAAATGCTCAGGTGCACAGCCTCTGGTTGCTGGAACAGGTTTTGAATGAATGGCAGCTGGGAATTAGGTAAAGGAATGGAAACGTTGCTGGTGTATGCTTAGGGATGTAGTATTAAACCGTCTCATCTTGTACTGCAGATGATTATAATGATTATGTAACTTCAGTAAAAAATTGTTGCCCCCCTCCAAAATCAGCACTCTATTTACACACTTTAATAGCACTAACAATTATTATAGACAGGTATAAAATGAAATGATCATGATTCTACCAGCAGGGGAATTTATGGGAAAAAAAACTGGCTAACTGCAGGTAAGATCCATGCATAAAAATGCATAATTGAGGTGAAGAAAAACATGGCATTTTTATGTTTAAATGGAATGCAGCCATTATTTTCCAGAAGCAATTTCTTTCTCCTATTTTCCATGTGAAAGCAATGTATCCACCACAGCCCTTCTGTCTATTATGTTGCAAAAAGAAGCCCTATTACAATTGCTTGGTTTTGATGTTCAGTCTTTATAAGACTTGAAATCTATGTGATTCTACCAGATTGCATATCTTATTGACTGGCCCCTGTTGCCTGTTTGGCAAATGCCAATATTACAAAAATATTCCCTGAAGGTTCAGTTCTGAGAGGTGCTAGTACTCTTATCTCCTAGTGAAGTGAGCAGGAATTCAGAACACATAGCGGTTTGGGTTCTGGTCTTTTATTAGCAAAATATTAGTTCCAAATGTACAAGGTATAAAACTTGCTAAGACAACAGGAAAAACCTGTATCATAGAAACTGTCTCTAATAATGAATCTTATCCAGAAGAATGGGCTACTGCAGCAGCATGTTCCAGTTTAGATATGTGACAATAAAACTGACCATGAAGAATGGAAGGTGTGTAAGCACATGCTTGAAGATAAGCATTTGTTTATGTACTTGCCTGAATGAAATGTGGGCATCAACTGACAAGTTAACACGACAATCCACATGACTCATTACAGACTTATACATTTACCACAGTAACTCCTCCTCCTGTTATTCTGACCTTATTAGGGTGCCTTTAAAAAGCCATCTAACCTTGAAACAAAATTTCTTATAGTGACACTTCATTTTCCAAATAATGTTTCCATTGATATTTAACAATCTGTTCTTTTTAATACAACATATAAGCACAATCAATTGTTTGCATCTTTTATTCACTATACAGAGGGACTATCTGAAATATTTGTTAATTGCCAATGTATCTTTTCACGGTTCAGAAAAAGAAGCAAAAAATTCTTACCTGCACAGGTATCTTGGGGGATTGGGAAGGTCTTTGACCATGTAACATTCTCCCCCATTTACACAGAAGGCTTTCTGTTTTATGTCACATTTTGTGAGATGACTTGTCCCCGTAGTAGATGTAGAAGTGGCTGGAAGAGAGAAGAGAAAGAATAAGAGTTAGATTTTCCCCCCGAAGAGTCTTTATATTTTAGTACTCATTTATGCACAAATGGGAGGACTTGGAGGTCTGGGCTTGAGGAGAAGTGGTGAGTTTTTTTTAATTATCTGCCTTCCAGAATGACCACTGAGTCCTGGAAAGCAGTTTGAAAGCATAATTAGGTTAATAATTTTTTTTAATGATCCATACACAATTGAGAAGAATAAAAAATTCCACACATAACAACCCACCAGTAACTCTAAGTTCTCCTAGAGCTAGAGGACATATTATTTATAAGGACTGGGTAATTTAAGAGATATTATTTTAATTGCATGAAATAACTCAAGTGATGGGACATTTGGGGTGGTGGCTGTTGTGTACTCTATCTTTGTATAAGACCTACCATAAGGCAGGCCTGGACTGACTGCTCCCACAGTGTTTCTTCCATCAGTTAAACCAGTTAAATATTATTAAATTTCATTTTCTGAACCTTAATTTAAGCCTATCATAATTTTCCTAAGCAGGTTTCTAATTTTGTCTTAGACAAAATTACCTGTGCAGTATTTCCTACATTTCATTCCACCCAGTTTGGGGATTACATAGGGAGTTTTGCAACTCCTGGAGCAGTATGATTAATTTATTCAGGGAAACCAAAGAATTTTTAAAGGGGATCACTGTACTTCATGATAAATTATAGCCTTTTTGAGTAGCCTATAGCACCACAGTTAGAAAAAAAATGTAGTCTGGGTGAATGAAACTAGGGATGGGCCTATACTACAATTATTGCAGTGTGGTGTAACTTCAAACTAGCTGGAGTGGGTACTGGTAGTAATGGAGCATAGAACTCAGTATGGGCTGCAAAACCCACCTGAAAAGCTACATAAATACTCAAGCGAACAGTCCATGCTGCTGTATGTATATATTACACCCCCCACACTTATATTTACACACACATGCATGCACACACACACACAAAATAAAACTGTTCTTCTGATATGCTGTGTGACCTTGGACAAGTCAATTCATCCTCTAAAACAGGGATGACACTTTTTTTTTCCTGTATAAAGAAATCTACAAATGAGAAGTGGCTATAGAACAGGTACGCATTTTATCGAAGTGCTGAGCACATGTTAACAGCATGATTGCTTAGAGATAAATTCTGTCTCAGAGCTATTTTATATTATATATATTTTACATGCACACAAATATTCCACAGACGTTAGTTACAGCTGTGCATATTCGTCTAGGAGCACTATTCATTCCAGTGTCAGAAGCATTCTTGGTGAAGTTCCTTTTCAATAACAGGCACGTGCTGATATAACCTTCATCATTCTAACAGGAAGGTACCCTCAACGACCGTCTGAAAATCAGGAAGAGGAAATGCTTAATTCCTGCTCATTTGGATTCTTCAGTCAGAGGATGATAATCAGTCCATACTAAAACTATGTTGGATGGAACATCAGAGTCATATTAGGGTACAGAAAGTGACAGCTCTCAATTTGGGTGCAGTGATTTTTAACATTTTATTTGGGCCAAGGGAATATTTATATGTAGCAAGAGGCAGATTACCTACCAATTGCAGTGCATATGCGCTTGAAAGAAAACAGGTTTTTCTACAGGCCAGATCCACAGAAATAGAACTTGACCATTTTGTTTTCTCTTTTCTGAGAGACTGTATTAGTACCATTTGATTTTCAGTCATTTTCCACTGTCAGTTCATCTAACATGCATTGCTGTAACAGAGGAGAGCCTGGCTACTTAAGATACCACTACCCACTTCGTGCAATGCAATCACAGTTGCCATTTTCCAACATGCTCAAGTCCACAACTCCCTTGTTTAAATGAGACAGGATTGATGGGGGCAGGGTATTCAGTTCACTTCCACCCTTGGTCCAACACGGCCGTATTTATCATCTGATATCATTCCTCCAGTATCTACTTCCTTGCTCTTTCAACACTGCCAGCCTCAGACACCCATTTGACACCTTCCCCAGAGCTCCAGCAAGCACTTGTGTGCTTTCTTCCCTGATACTTTGTATTCATGGAACCTCCTCTCTTAACTAGTCCAGGAAGCCACTGCCCTGTTCCCTTCCGAGTTCTTCATACCCACAGCTCGCTGTGCATAGAGCTGACCCATTTATACAAGAAGATACATTCCTTTTATTGTTTTCCATGCCCTGCTTTCTTCTGAATGCTAGTTATACTCACTTGCTGCATTGTGCTGTACTGGGGCCCAGTTCTGATTACGGCCTCTTAGCGCTAATGGAATACAAGTAATTAACTATTAGATGCCTGGTGACAATACTTTCTTTTCCTCTGGCCCCATAGGACATGAGTTAATTCCAAGTACATCTGAGTAAGCGGAGGTAAGGGCTAAACTAGGAAAAATGTCCTGTTTCAAAAGTACTGGCTAACGTTTTGGCTAATGTGAGTTAAACTGGACTATTTAACCTAGCAAGGACAAGGCAGGTGGTCAGCCTTGTAGGGGAGTGTGATATATGCCTGGTTTTACTGAGTCACACATTCCGGGGCAGGTCCTATTCCACCAATTAGGCAGGTAACTGGATTTAGATGACCATGTGTGATTCTGTTCCACTCTGCTCAAGTCCCTGGAAACAGCTAACAGGAAAAGATGGGTGGGTCCTTCTCCTCACTGTTTCTTTTTGACTCAGTCTTAAGGGTCAAATGATGCGTTACATAAGTAGATGCATTAATGAATTTTCAGGAACTTGATAAGATTGAAATAGAATCACACTTAGGTGTTTAAGTTCACTTGGACACCCAATAGGTGGAACTGAATCTTGTCTTTGTGATGTGTAAATTTAACAGAGGAAGAGTCTTACTAGGTGATGCTGACATATAAAGAAGCCTTGGAGGTATAACTTAAGGTAAGCTTAGTTCTCTCCTCTGAATAAAGCCCTACCTATAGATCATGACTACCTAATGACTGCCTTTCTGTTCTTTAAAATATTTCTTCCTGAAAATAAGACTATTGTTTTGAAGATGGTTCTGAAAGCTAATGCATTTATTTAGGGGTAAAAACTATCTTGTCCACCTGAGCCCCTGCCAACAGAGGCAACTGCTCCCATGAAGGCTAATGGAATGCTCTTGTCTAAACTGAAGAATAAAGATAGTTGTAGACAGCGAGTCTATAGCTTTCTATAACTGCATTGGTCATCTGGTGGAGCACTTTTTTCGTAAGCAGCAGCTAGATCAAAACTGATCATTGTGGAATTTCAAAGTAGCAATTAATTCCCAGCTGACGTAAACTGAGCTCTGGGTGGCAGCAGTTGATCTGAACCAACTGCTACGGAGAGAAAGAAAGGGTAGTTCTCAAAAAAAAATCCCATGATATAAGGGCTTTACAAACATTTGCCAGGAGCTCTCAACTCTCCCCCCCTCCCCCTTCCTGAATTTGGCATTATATGTTCAAAACTGTCCTATAAATCTTAAATATTTTTTATGCATTACTGATAGACTAGTCCTGCAGTCCCAATGTGCCTTGTGTTTATAACTGCAGTGAAAAGAAAAGATTAAGAAAAAAAGGCTCCTAAATGAGTGAGTTTTGCTTTTCTTTGCAGAAGATGCATGAGTGGGTAAACCGTATTTGGTCTACATACTGTTTGCCCTTTTTACAAATTAAATTTAAGAAACACTATAACTGTGGTGTTAAATTTCACTTCAACCCATGCAGCAGAAGAAATGATGTGTTCAAGAGCAGGTGGTCATCAGTGCAGATTTCACTCAATCTGTAACTAGCCCAGA